TGACCACCCCTTTAAAACGGCTCTCTATCTATCTATCTATCTATCTATCTATCTATCTATCTATCTATCTATCTATCTATCTATCTATCTATCTATCTATCTACCTTCCTCTCTCTCTCTCTCTCTCTCTTCCTCTCTCTTTCTCTTTCTCTCTTTCTCACTCTCTCTCTCTCTTCTCTCTCTTTCTCACATTCTCTCTCTCTTTCTCACACTCTCTCTCTTTCTCACACTCTCTCTCTTTCTCTCACTCTCTCTATCTCTTTCTCTTTCTCTTCTCTTCTCTTCTCTTCTCTTCTCTCTTCTCTCTTCTCTCTTCTCTTCTCTTCTCTTCTCTTCTCTATCTCTCTCTCTCTCTGCGACGACCACTCGGTATCCATAACTGTTACTGGAGTTAGAAATCGAGTATTCTCACTTATTTTATTTATTTATTTTTTTTTTTTTTTATTCAAGCAAGGTGGACGAAAAGGTGAAAATAAGAAACTAAATATACTTACAAGCACAAAAGCATGCTTATATGCTCTAGCACATACACGCATGCGTATACACACAGGTAGGCGCGTACACTCTCTCTCTCTCTTTCTCTTTCTCTTCTCTTCTCTTTCTTTCTTCTTTCTTTCTTTCTTTCTTTCTTTCTTTCTCTCTCTCTCTCTCTCTCTCTCTCTCTCTCTCTCTCTCTCTCTCTCTCTCTCTATATATATATATATATATATATATATATATATATATGTGTGTGTGTGTGTGTGTGTGTGTGTGTGTATACATCAATATATATTTATATATATTAAATATGTTTATACACACACACACACACACACACACACACACACACACAACACACACACACACACACATATATATATATATATATATATATATATATATATATATATATATATATATATGCATATATATATAATTTTTTATAGACGCACACACATACAATATACATATATATATATATATATATATATATATATTATATATATATATATATATATTATATATATATATATATATATATATTATATATATATATATATATATATATATATGACTTATGGTTTGGTGTGTGCGTGTGTGTGTGCGTGTATGTTTGTATATGTACACACACAAATATGTGTGTGTGTGTCTTCGCGCAGATATTTCCTACATCAACAGAAATCCGGAAGATTACGGTGTCATCCGTAATAAAATAAAAGAAAGAAAACAATCTTCAATAGAGCAGGATGTTCTTGTGATAGACGAAAGCCAAAGCAAGGTTGCCTATTCACTAATAAGTCCCATGAAGACCGCCCATATGCTAAGAAAGGGATACGAACGCCCCAATTTCGAACTAATTTTTCCGCACTTTGATTTTTCTATCTTTCTCTCACTTCCTCTTTTTTGTAATTATACATAATATATTTTATTAATTTGTTTTCTTTCTTTTTTTTAATCAACACATGGCATCGCGGAACAGATCCACCTCAGAGATGCGATAAAAAAAAAAAAAAAAAACATTTAGGCAAGTTTCCGCAGTCTTTTATTAGATGCGGAATGACCTTGCGTGCTTCGTGTCGCTTCCGTGCAATGCTTGTGGCGTTTGTCGAATGTATTAACGCCACGTCTAACGGGGAGCGCCTCGTTTGACAATAAAGCCTTGGGTGGGAGAGAAAGAGAGATAGAGGGAGAGGGGGAGAGAAAGAGAGAGAGAGAGAGAGGAAGGAGGAGGGAGAGCGAGAGAGAGGGACGGTGGGAGGGAGAGAGAGAGAGCGGGAAGGAGGGAGGGAGGGAGAGAGAGAGAAGGAGGGAGGGAGGGGGAAAGAGAGAGGGAGGGAAGGAGGGAAGGAAGGAGAGGGAGAGAGAGAGAGAGACAGGCAGAGAAAGAGAGAGAGAGAGGGAGGGAGGGAGAAAGAGAGAGAGCTTCATCTTAACTTCCCGAAGTGGACAACGTGTGCTTTCAATTTTTATTTTAAATTTTTTACGCTATATCTGCCGTTTCACAGAGAAGCAAGGAACTCACAGGTAACAAGTGAGTGGCCTTCCCTAACCTAATGAGGGGAGTCTGAACACGTCTGCGCGCGCGTGTGTGTGTGTGCGTGTGTCGCCAGATTCTTAAAAAGCCAAGGCGATATCTAAATCCGATTTCCGCAACAGTACCCTTGTAAATCTGATTAGATAACGATATCAACCGCGCCAGAGTCAGTCAATGGTTCATTTGTGATTTGAATTGACAGTGCGTATTGTCACGTCTAATGGTTGTGAGACAAAGATTGATATCGCAGGCAAAAATTTACACATAAACACAATATAAAAAATAATTATATACATTATGTGGTTGTCAGTTTAAACATTAAATAGGTTTCTGAGGTTTGTGACTTATGTTGACTTTCACAAATTTTGATGTAGGAACTTAAAGATTCAGTAAATATTAACGTGAAAATAGGAATATAGGTTTTTGTTACCATGAAGAGAACAAAACTAAATATTAACGTGAAAAAAGGAATATAGGTTTTTTGTTACCATGAAGAAAACAAAATTTCGTTCTTGTTTTCAGTGTGTGTGAGAAGTCATTATACATACATGCCTGAAGCACTGTTTGCAGTACAATTTCCTGGTTCATGAACATATATGGATACACACTCCTGAAGCACTATTTGCTGTACAATTTCCTGGTTCACTCCGGAAGATGTACAGGTTCACTCCTGAAGATGTACAATTTCCTGGTTCATAGACATATATGGATACACACTCCTGAAGCACTTTTTGTGTACAATTTCCTGGTTCATGAACATATATGGATACTTTCCTGAAGCACTATTTGCTGTACAATTTCCTGTTTCATGAAAAGATATGGATA